TGAAAAATATTGCACATTCAATCCCTATAAGGATGTTATCGTAAATATAAATAAAAAATAAAATGAAATAAAATAAAAACTTCAATATAATTTCATGAAACTTCATAAAATGTATTAAGCGAGTTTATTTTATTTGATTAAATATAATGCGTGAGTTACTATGAATATATCCTTAATATCAAGTTTGATCCCGTGTATATATATAATTATAAAAAAAAACTTGTGAATTGTTAGTATAATTTATTTATTTTTAATCAAACATTTCTCCTGGTTTAAAATAAAATGATGAGCACTTGATATCGTGGCCATATATTTATTTCAATCTCTATCTTGTTAGTCTTTTGAGATGGTTCAAATCTTGAAGCATTTCCATTACATTCAAGTGGTCACACCATCATTATGTCAATTACTTACCGTTTTTACGCGAGTTGCCGTTGAGACTCTGATTTATATTGGTTCTACTTCTAATGAATTAAATATGAGGAAACTCACCCGTATATATAATTGTTGCTTAAGTTACAAGTTTATACGTTAATCAAGTTCCTAGATGTGTCTGTGTCAGTGTCAGCAAAAAATAGAAACGGATCCTCATATAATCACAGCCACAGGGTGTTCATGCTTCTTTCAACTTCATATATTTTTTTAACCTACTTTGTATATTTAGGTTATGAATTTCTGATGGTGTCAAAAAAAGAAAAAGAAGAACAATGTAAAACGCTAGTTCCACGATGGAAACCAAAAATCACGTAAAATAGGTGAAAATGCCAAACATTTTATGATGTTACTAGATTGTTGATATTCTCTTGGAAACAATATCACTTTGGAATAAGTGGAAACCAAATAGCCCTCGTAAAATAAACTCTTTTTTTTTTTTATATATATTTTGAGATAATTTGTAAAATAAACTTTAGTTATTGAAAATTGTGTAAATTATGTTATTTTTATTATTATACAAGTACAACATTTATCTATACAAAAGAAAAGAAAAAAAATAAATAAAAGAAAGGAATGGAAAATTAGAAAGAGACTTAAAAGATCATTTCGTATACGTTTGATTTAGTTTTTGTTGAATGTTGATCAATGGATATAACTTTTTAATTTAATTATGATCTTGAGTTTAAATTTTGGATAAGTAATTAAATTAAATATTTAAAAGAAAACTTTTATCAGTTTTTATATGAACAAGAAGAATTTTATCTTTCATAATAGTTCTATCACTTATTTGAACATAATTTATACCATTATATAAGAGAGAGATATTCCTTATAATAATTATTTTTAGATTTTATTTTTACATGAATTGTTTTTCCTTCTTTTTTTTTGAGAAGATTCATTCTTTCTTCTTTTTTTTTCTTTTTTTACAACTTATTAAAACTATCTTTTTCTACAAGTAACTTCTCATTCTTTTTTTAATTTTATTTTGAAACTGTAATAACTATTCATAAAAGCGAATATTTTTATTTTTTTAATACAGAGTAGTTACGAAGGTTTTTTTTTTTTTTCTAGTCAGTCTTTTATAAAGGACGTATAATCGTCTCTTTTGAAAAATTTGGTTTAGTTCCCTTCACAATAAATTTCTATTTGTGAGTCTATTGCAGGTATGTGTGATGAGTATTAGTAGACAATGGACCAATAATATATGCATTAGAAGTGTTCAAATAAAATAGATTATCACTCAACAATTACAAACTTTTTTACAAAGAAATGATGTATTTGAAACTCATGCATGTTTATGTGTAATTTTCTAACTCCTTCACACATGGTGCTTGTTATAGAACAGGGGATTGAGAGGACAAGGGTTGTTGGATATTATTGGAGCCGTATGTGAACAAAACTATATGATAAAGTCCTCATTCACTGTGTTATTACCATTCAGTTTCTACTGCTAGTGTTACAAAGAGAACTGTTTCGAAAGTGGTTTATCATTTTACTATTTCCAAACTAACATCAGTTTTTGACTTTTACAACTCTCTAGCTAGCACTTTAGAATCCCATTCCCACATGAGTGTTTACATGAATGACCTTATTAAATTTGGGGAAATGGAGATAACAAATATAAAAATATATATAAACACATTTTTGGATCACTCTCAAATCAGTCATAGAATTGGCATCTTCGCCTTGGTTTCATTCATGATACTCCTATTCCCAAGTCCCACCTTCCTCTCCATATGCATATATCAATGGACATATATAAGAAGAAAAAACTACATATGGACAATAGCAAATCCAGAAAAAAAAAAAAAATCAGTAGGGACAAAGAAATTGTTTGTTTAAACTTAAAAATAAACGTTTCTAAATAAATATATTTTAAAAAACAATTCCTTAAAAAACTTATAAGAGTTAGTTATTGGAAAAAAAAAAAACAAAAGTTACTTATTTAAAAAAAAAAGTAAATTTAGATAAATAAATATATCAAAAAGTAAAAAAAAATGTTTGATTTATCAAAAAAACTATATAAAAAAAAATTCAAACAAACGGACCCATAGTCTTTAAGATTTTCAAAGAAAAATATCATAAATCTTTACAAAATATACAATTTTAAGGATGTGTTTGTGTAATTGTGTTACCAACTTGATTTTAATGTATGTATAGTAACAAGAATTAAAAAAATTAATAGGGTAAAGTAGTAAAATTGAAATCAATTAATTTTTCTCTTTTTTACCTTTATTCAAAAAAAAAATATGGAGACCATAACTATTTTTTTATGGGGTAAAACAAAAGTTTATTTAACATAATTAATTAAGAAGAAAAGCTTGTGAGAGCAATTGCCCCATAGTTATATAATTGCAATCATCCTTTTGTATATGGATCAATTTGCATGAATTTATTTAATTGTTTTAAATTCGAATCAAGTATACGAATATTCACAATAATTATAATTTTGTTGTTTATAATAATTTTATTTAATTTTAAAAAGAAAAAGAAAAAAGAAAAACCCTGAAATTTAAAGCAAATATATATATATAACCTTAAAGATAACAAAAACTTCCCCACGAAGGTCTCTTAATAGTAGATGACAAAAGGGCTTATCATTCTCACGTGCTTCAACGTTCTCAAGGGACAGGAACATTTGTCTGTGTGCCAAGGACATTGCACAGTACAAATCTCAATAAGAACCATGCAAGTGAGTAATATTAATTTATGTATCAGTGCAAATACATTGTAATAGACACGATTTAGCTTTATTTATTACAATCCCTAATGAACTTTAAAGGAGATAAGTTAAACACTGATCAAATCACAAAATGGGCATTTAGAGACAAAGTCATGTGTGTACTGTTCGAATCTTTAAAAGGAAAATAGCATAAAGAAGTAGACAAGGTGAAGTGCGCACTTTGGATTCTCCTTGAGAAACGGGTTAGTAAGAGTAATGGTGTTTCATTGCAGCTAGGTTGCACTTCTAATAAGTTATAACTATTTTTGTTATTTATGATGTGAAACTATTATCCAAATACAGACAGATATGCAGATTAAGTTTTTCCGACTTGGCTATTAGTTTCGAATTTGAGCATTGAGTATGCAACAATACATTAAATACTCAAAGGAAAAATTTTGTTACATATAATGATCTTATTTAACTAATATTTGGAGAGAAAATTTTGTTATTTTGAATAAGATTAGCTCTTATGGATGGATGATACTTGTAGTATATTAAAAAAAATAAAACTGTTATCCAAGTGTATGAGTTACCGGTGAATGAGGAACTCCACGTGAGATACTCATGTTGGAAAATATATTATTAGCATGAGTCAGAAAATTGTTGTACCTAGCCAAAATTAAGATGCTAGGTGAAGTATCTGCATTTGCATGGATCAAAATATTGCGGAACTTCTGATGATCCTCACATGGCAAGTATGATTTGCTGCCTTCTTAGGTTGTCTAGCCTGACATCATTGGCTTGCACGTCTTGCCATGTACCACAAATCCACAATATTCATCTTCTTCTTAATAATTAATCTCAGTCTTATGTCTTAACCAGCTACATTCCTTGTTCTTGAAGCGGAAATTAATAAAGATTTCATTAGTACATTATGGTGTTATAGCCGCTATGTCGGTGCTGTTATTGCTTAATGTTGTGGTATTTTAAGTTGTTTTTGTTAAGCTGATTGATGTGTTGATTGATGTGCTGATAGCTGTAGTTGTTTACTATTCACATATTTATATATATGCGTTGTCACGCATATCAGCTCATAGATCTCCTACAACAGCTCCTATCAGCACGGAGCACAACACTGCATAGCAGCCATAACAGCACCACTCAAGTGGCTATAACAGCACCGCATAGCGGCAATAACAACACCGACTTAGCGGCTATAACAGCACCACAATAGTGGCTAATAACAGCACACAACTCATCATTATACAACACAGCCAAACAACTCACAGCCCAGCTAACACAGCTCACATCACAGCACAACAATATCAACATACAGCAATAACGGCTTACAACTCAACTAAACAACTTACAACACAGTAATATACATCTATTACAGCTTAACATCGTATTTCAGCATTATCATCTAGTCAGCACAACATATTCATCAATTATAGCTCAACTCTGCATAAAACAACATTTATTAGCAATTTAGAAACACAATAAGTAGTGAGTGAGAGTGACGTGAGTGTATTTGTGAGAAGTGAGGAATATATATTGAGTGTCTGTGTCACCAAAATATAAATAGTATTGTGAAGAGTGTGTGTGAGTAAGTAAGTGAGTGTGTTGTATTAGTGTAAAATCATTAGAGGTGTTGGGCACCAATATTTTTGTATTTGCTCTTGTATATTAATAAAATTAGCCTCCTATCTTTTCAACATTTGGTATCAGAGCTAGTTCGGTCGGGACCAGGAACCAGTTTGCTCGAGCTAGTACGTTGGTGGAAGTTGTGATTAAGGACTGTGTGAAGGAGATTCTGTAGGAATACAGTCTGGGACTGTAATAGTTGTTGATCATCAGGATCACAATAAATTGGTTGAGTGTTAGGCGCTAACCAATCATCATGGCAGATCTCGCATCCTCAACTAGCTCACTAGAGAGGCTCAACAACAGCAATTATGACACGTGGAGCGTTCGAATGAAATATTATTTGCTCGGGCAAGATCTCTGGAGCATTTTTCATGGTGCAGAGACGACCCCACCAACTGATGAAGAAAATCTAAAGAAATGGAAGGTTCGATGTGGAAAAGCTTTGTACGTGTTGTCGATCTCCGTGGAGGATGAGTTCTTGCAGCGGATCAAGGACCTAACGACACCGAAGGAGGCATGGGATACATTAGAAACACTCTTCACAAAGAAGAATGATGCTAAGTTGCAGCTGCTAGAAAACGAGTTGATGTCACTGAGACAAGGTGACATGGCGGTAAGTCAGTATTTTACTAAGGTTAAATCAATTTGCAATGAGATTGCAAAATTAGATCCTCAGAATGCAATTTCTGAGACGAGGATGAAGAGAATAATAATTTTTGGATTAAATCCAAAATATAATGGGATTATTACTGCCATTAGAGGTTGGGCCACAGAACCCACCTTGACAGAGTTAGAAAGTATTTTGGCAAATCAAGAAGCTTTAGACAATCAAATGTCTAAAGTATCAATTAATGAGGAAGACAAGGCCCTTTTTAGTAAAAAGAGAGGCCGAAATGAGGTTAAGGCAGCTGCAAATTCAGATAGCGAAAGTAAAGGCCCACAAAGAAGACAAGGTTGGCAGAAAGGCCAACATAAGAAGGGTCCAGAGCAAAGGGGAGCTACGCAATCCCGATTCAGAGACTACGAAGAACAAAAGAGATATCGGCGCAAGGATGGACGATGTTACAACTGTGGTAAAAAGGGCCACTATGCACGAGATTGTTGGGCCAGGAAAGAAGAAGGCAACACAGTCACACTTAAGCAGGACGAGAACGAAGAAGAATGGTATGTCCAAGCATCGTACGCGGTAAAGGAATCTCGGAGGGATGAAGGTGTAGAGATTGTGGCATCATGCATGGATGAGCCAGTAGAAGAATCAGCATTGGTCACGGTAAGTGAAGCAATCAATTATGATGATGATTGGATTGTTGATTCTGCTGCTCGAATCATATGACTGGAGACAAAGGAAAGTTCCTAAGTATGTCAGAATATAAGGGAGAAAGAGTTGTTGTGACTGCAAAAAACTCCAAGATGCCAATCTCTCACATCGAAAAGGCTGTTATAGTCCCCCGCTTTAGTCCACATCAAGTAGAGGTCGACAATGTCTACCATGTACTCGGGATAAAGAAGAATTTATTATCAGTTTCACAATTGACAGCTTCAGGCAATTATGTGGTGTTTGGGCCAAAAGATGTAGGAGTGTATCGAAGGTTCAAGCCTATATGTCCTGCAATTGTGAAAGGAAGGCGATTAGAGTTTGTCTATGCAATGTCAGCACAAGAGGCATACATTAACAAGGCAAGGAAGAATGAGACAGCAGATCTATGGCACACGAGACTTGGACACGTGAGCTATAATCGATTAAAAGCAATGATGAAACAATCCATGCTAAAAGGCTTACCAAACTTGGAGATGCGAGAGAATGTCGTTTGCTGGGAAAGCTCACGAGCTTCCATATGAAGAGTCAAAATACAAGGCCAAGGCACCATTGGAACTGGTGCACTCTGATGTGTTTGGACCGGTGAAGCAGCTATCGATCAGCAGGAATAAATATATGATCACAATTATCGATGACTATTCCAGGTACGTGTGGGTAGACTTTATGAAGGAAAAATCTGAAGCACTAAAGAAGTTTATAGAGTTCAAAGAAAAGATTGAGAAAGAGGTTGGACGTATGATACGGTGCTTGCGTACGGACAATGGGGGAGAATATACATCAAAGGAGTTCAACCAGTACTTACAAAAATGTGGCATAAGGAGGCAGTTGACATGCCCGAACACCCCACAACAAAACGGAATCGCGGAGAGAAAGAATAGGCACCTAGCAGAGACATGCAGGAGCATGTTACACAGTAAAAATGTACCACCAAGATTTTGGGCGGAGTGCATGAAGACCGCTGCTTACGTCATCAACAGATTACCCCAGGCAAAACTAGGCTTCGTTTCACCATATGAGAAGTTGTGGAACACAAAACCTTCGGTAAGTTACTTCCGAGTGTTTGGATGTGTGTGCTACGTTTTTGTGCCATGCCACGAACGCA